TATATATATATATATATATTCTCATGTGTATATATACATTTAATGCACACATACATACTGCTTGATATATTTAACTATAAGTGGACTTGAATTGGAGAATGAGGATATAATAGCTCTATGGAAGAAAAGTGCTATATAAATCAGATGCTATAAATGCACTACATATAAAAGTCCTACTGTAATTTTAAAATTTAATAACTTTGGATGAACCTATGACAGAGGCAGATGGCACACCCCATGGAAAGTGTAATTCACTAACTCTAATGGTAATATTGAATGACCCTTTCTTCAGTGCTTACTGAGCTCTTGGAAAGTAGGCATTATTGGCCCATCAGTTCTATAAAAGTAAGGTGAGTGTTGCCTTCCTGTGGTTATGGAGCGCTGCTTTTCTTCCTGTGCTGTGATAATGACAATTTCTTCTAGTGACCTCTTGCAGCAGAACAGTGCTTTTACTGCCTTGTTTTGAAAACTTGACAACGACGTGCAATTTCCCTGTCAGATTAATTCATATATTGTACACGTTCTGGGCATCTAATTTACTTGTCTCCTAGGAAATGCGTCTAATCCAGTCTTAACAAAATTTCACTTTATTCAGACTATATCATTAAGCATGTGTTTATTATAAGCTGTAAGTAGAGAACATTCCAGGCAACAAAAGAAGCCTTTATCCATATCTCACTGTATATCATTTTAACATTATATTTTTATTAAATTTGAGCAAAAATGGGCTTCTTTACTAATATGTAAAATTTTTGATATTTCTTCTGGGATTTTTTTTGACATTTTTTCTTCTTATTGTTAGTACATCATTGTGATACACAATAATTACATTGATCTGGTACATTGTTACATATATACATAAGACATCTTGACAATTTTTACTCCCTCCAGCACCACCCCTGTTTGTTTTTGAACTGTGATTCAAATCAATCTAGTAGGGGCCAGGGAGATGGCTCAGTGGAATAAGCGCTTCCTTGGCAAGCACAAGGACCTAAGTTCAATCCCCAGTTTTGAAAAAAAAAATCAATCTAGTGCTGTCCCAGGATAAATCCCAGTAGTATACTACTTTTAGCCCATCATAAAAAGGATAAAGATGAAACTCTTTTAGCAGGAGGAAATAACACAAAGATTTATCTCTTGTCTTTCCATGGGTGGAAAAAAAGAAGCCATTAAGAAAAGCCTATTTTATCCTAGGATAGGGAGCATGAAAGGAACTCAAATAGCTGGGCACTGAAGGGATTAGCTACAGAGGGAAGCAATTAGCACCTAACACTGACGAGAAAATGTGAGGAGGCACAATTACCATAGCCCTTTCAGAAGAAGATACTTGGAAGACTATACTCTGGGAAGGAATCAGTTTCTCCTAGGGACTTAACCTCGGTGCTGAAAAGGAATAGGGGAGAAAGAATCTTTCTTTGTCTGACCTCATCCTCTTACCTTAGATGATTCCATGCAGTAAGGGCTTCAGGGGTCTGCAGGCTTTGTGGTTCATCCTTGTGGATGCTAAGCAGGGCAGAGAACTGTGGACAAGATTCTTGGATGAATAAAACAGAATAAATGGTAAGGAGGCTTACCTGGCAGATTCAGGACTCCCAGGAGTTATCTCTTTCGCCTAGGAGGACATCACATGGGCATGTCCTTGACACCATTTCTTTCCAAGTCTGCAATCATCAGTGTTCATAGAACTTGAACATTATATGGTTTCAGACTGACCTAGATATGAAATAAAGGTCATAAAAGTGACCCATTTGTCAGCCCTGTTCCAGTAATTATACTCAACATACTCTGCAAAAATGGTGCATTATCAACAGATACTTTTCTCATTATATTCAAAAAAACAAGGTCTGTAAAAGAGTCCAATTCATCCATTTCCTTGGTGGGGTTCACCTCGCATTTCTCCTAAGGAGCTCTTCCCTTCTCTAATACAATCAATAGTAGTGGTGGACTATTTTCTCTAAATTTCTAATTTTTCTAGTTTTAATTTTCCTGGGGTTTAAAAGGCCAGTTCCCATAAAGAGTCAACATTCAATCCTAAAACCCTTCAAGATGATTGTCTGTTTTTCCTATCCGCACATTGAGCTACTGATTTCTGTTGATTTGGTTCATTGTGAAAACTCATGACTTTGCTGTGCAACATAATTACTTCACTATGCCAGTGGGCAAGGAGACAAAAGTGCATGATGTCATAGTGTGCATACAGGGATTGTGGAATAATTCTGTCAGAGCTATGAGGTGACAGCTACCCATGCACATTCAGATACTCTGCTGAAGTCCCAGTAGGCAGCTTACATTGAGGGATAATCCCTTGAGTTGCACAGTTAAGCTGCATGAGACAGGGAGATATCAGCTTCTCTCTTACTGAAATAGTAGCTAATGGAGCACTGGTTTCTGTCGGGCATGATCAGGTTGTTTACAACTGTTCATGGGAGAACTAGGGGACCTAAGGTACTGCTTTACATCTTACCGAGGAGAACTAATGTCAAATGTAGTGCTTCCAGTTTTCAGAAGAGTTTTCTACAAATCTACTCTATATGACATCAGTTTGGGAAGAAAATGAACCCTTACCTTTTATTTCTCTGTGGCTTATTTTTATGCTAATCTATTATGACATGCAGATGGACTTCAAAGTTGGGGTTAACTTTTAAAAACTTAATATTTATATTTAAATTAGTAGAGTTTTATAGTTCATATAACTATTCACATACCTTACATTTGATATATGATACAAGTATTAAGTACCACAAATACTTTAATAATTATATAAACTTTCAATAATCACAAAAATCTACTTAATATATTCCACAAATTTCATTCCTGGAAGATAGATTTTTAACTAATGGCAAAAGGTACATGCAAACAATTAACAGGAGATATGAATCAGATCGTGGAGGTCAACATTCTGCTGGCTTTTATCATGATTTTCTTTTTAATTTATTTAATTTATTTTTTTATTTTTTGTATTTTAGGGAAGGGTCTACAGGATGTTCAGGGTCTCACTACCAGATCAGACTTCTAGTGATCTGCCTGTTTACAGCCTCCCAAGAATTGGGATTACAGATATGCGCCACTATGCCCAGTCTCAATTGCCATCTCGTGCACCCCAGGGCGGGGCTAGCATGGCAGGCCTGGGGATCAAACCCCCAGCCCCTGCACCTTTTTTAATCAACTGAGCTATTTGGATGGCCCTTTAAACCAAACTCACACCTTTGTAGCCTTTTTTTTTTTTTTTTTTTTTTGTACTGGGGATTGAATTTAGGACCTTGCACTTGCCAGG